ATCCTGATGACAATTTCTTGTCCGAGTTTCCAAAGTCTTTGCTTCCTAGAGTCCGTAGCAACGCTACACACATCTCATCACCCGCATACGCGATGCGGATCAAATCCGTCATAGACGACGTTACAGTTGTAACATGAGCAAGGTCATAGTCTGGTCTGCGTGACAACGCATCAGCCAAAGCATTCTGCTTTCCTGGCTTATACTTCACCTTGAAGTTATATTCTGCAAAGAAGGAGAGCCACCTGGTTATCCTCTGCGACTGAGTCGTAGTGAATAGTGACGCAATTTCTATGTAGACCACAAACGGCTTTGAGCCAAGCAGATGCACCCTATACTTGACAAATGCATACTTCATCGCAAGTAATATCATGTCGTGGACTGGGTAGTTCTTCTTTGCAGCCTTGAGCTGGCGATATTCGAACGCGATCACCCATTCTCGACCCTCGGCGCCTATTTGCAGCAGTGCACAGCCGATGGCAAAGTCCGAAGCGTAACAGACGACAGTGAAAGTACGACCAGGGTCTGGCAACGCCAGTATTGTGGCATGAAGGAGGCTATCTTTTCTCGTCAAAGACCTCCCGATGGTTGGTGTCCCAACCGCATCCTCCTTATGGAGATTCGACAATGGTCGTGCCGTTTCTGCGTAGCTCTCGCTGTGTTTGTGCCGGTTATTGGCGAGGCCAAGTTATTTGCGCAAGTCCTATTGATTCCTTGAAACCGTCCGGTCCACAATGGCCTTGACCTTTACGGGATCCGCTCGAAGGCCACGCTTTCCAATGAAGTACCCTGAAATGGGATTTCTTTCGCGCCAAAAGTGCACATATCGGCATAAGCATATAGCTTATTCGTGCTTATGCACTCAAGCACCGCTCTTAAATGGACGATGTGATTTTCCTCATCTGTCCTCCCGTGCCCTCACGACTGTGGACGAAGATGTCGTCAAAGTATATTTATGCAAACGCCCAATGCGACCTGTACAATTGCGTCACAAGACGGTTAAATGTTGCTGGTGCACTTGACAGCCCTTAAGGCATCACCAGCCACTCCCAGAGCTTCCTACCCGGAATAATCACAGCTGTCAGCGGGATATTACTCGCTCTCATGAGCAATTGTTGATAACCATAGACCAATTTGTGTGCACTGTACTTTGTACAGCCAACCATATTGTGTTGAAGAACATCCTTTCTAGGAATTAAACAACAATGCGAATTGAAAGATATTATACTCATAACTACGGTTCATAGATTTATAAACTGTCGGCAAAAATATTTGGCGTTTGTCGCGAAATGATGGCAGCGTTTAGCTTATCATAAGCGTGAACGATGCACCACTTGCCATTCGGCTTCCGAAAACAAAACGAGGGTGTCGAATGGGGAGACTCGCTCCCACGCACCATTCTTGCGCCGTGCTTCGCACGAAAAAAGGCGTCAATGACGTCGCACCGCTCATTGGGCAGGGGCCATTTGCGTGATACGCAATATTTGGTTCCCGGAACCAGGTCAATTTCATGACGCACACCTCAGTCCAGGAGTAGGACCGACGGCGGGCCGTTAAAGACGACGTCTTGGAATTCCTTTACCAAAATGTAGTACGGATCCGAAGGTCCTTCATGATCGACGATCCACTCCGTGCGTTTAGCAGCTTCTTAGTGTTCTCCAGGAAAGCTTCATCTCGAAGCGACGACGAGTTAATCTCCTCGTTTGGTCTCATAATGACCACCTCAGCTAAGTTGTCTGCCTTCAAGGCACCGCCAAACTCTTCAAAGGACATCTCGTCCAGCTCAAAAAGAGCATCCACCGCGGGGATATCCTCGAGGGTGACATCGCCGTCTTCCTCTCCCGTCATACCGCTGACAAGGATATATAGCTGTGTGTTATCGTCTAGTTAGACACCTGGTTGAGATTCTATTTGAGAGGATAAGATGGGAATATTATATGATAGGTCACCCTGGGTCATGGTCGACGCCCTGCGTCTTGCGGATGACATACAGCTCGCCGTTTCCTCCCTGTAAAGGTTTGACGTCTTGCGAGACGAGTGGGAACACGCACTCGGCGGATCAGTGTTCCCACTCCCTGCTTCATCGGAGCCTTGATGTTATTATCAACTTCCGATGAGAAGCTGCTAATTCCTCGTTCTTGTTATAGTGAAAACGTGCCACTCCATGCACATCAGAAGAGCCATGCCCAGGATGCCTCGGGTCTCGTCCGACCATGCCACGCTTGGCATGCAGAAAGTGTTTCAAAACGTGAGCAGATCTCAGTGGATTGCGTGCCACTCCATGCGCATCAAAAGGGCTTCGCCCTTGATGTCTCGCACCTCGTCCGACCATGCCACTCTTTGCACGCAGCAACTGCTTCATAACGTGAGCAGTGCTCAGTGGGTTACGGGCCACTCCACGTGCAGTCCGCGAGCCACGATCGGGACTCTTGTCCAAACACCTTTAGTGTTTGACAGCTCGGATACTCCTGTCCTAAATACAAGGATGACGTCATATCTCAGCTGCTAACAACGTGACGATAGTTTTGATGCGCATTACGGTCGCGAGAAATGGCACTAACGTGCGGTGCTTTGGTTGAAGCTGCGTTCCTTTCCTGAAAGGAGGAGAAGCTGCAGCATTCACCAGTGTTCTTGCCGCCAAATCAGGCATATCGCATGGATCACGTTTCCTTGCCACCTGACAGGGCAAAAAAGTAATCGAAAGACTTTGTCCAACAGTTGCGTACTCTCATTGCCGGTATGGCAGCGAATCCTCTTCCCGAGTGCGCGCTCGACCACCGAGCTTTGAGATAGCTAACGCCACGCGCTGTTGCTGTGTCCGGAGCATGTGGGACACCATGGCCGGATATTCTCTCCACCCTTGCCCTCGATGATCTTAATAATCACCATGAGCGGCCTGAGTCGGGGGGGTCGTCCGTCATCGACGGTGGTGACACGCAGTCGACGCTGACAGCTTCAGCTGTAGGTGCTCTAACAGAAAACTTCTATGGCTTGAAAGCGTCTTTAGGCGCGCGCTGGTCGCTTTAGGTCCTTGTGACGCGAGGTGTCGCACTCCTTGAGAGCCAAGCAGAGTCCGCATCTGGCGCGTTTGGTCACCACATCCCTGATTATGTTGTGAAGCTTACTGACTGGTGTTGATGTCCCAAGGGCACACACATAAACATTTTAAGTTCCATCCTTATTAAAAAAAACGGATGCTTCAAGACTCGTTCGTGGGATTGACCAAAGTGCTACTGAGTACGACTGTCTTGCTATGCTCTTTGCTCAGAGACAGTCTTGACTTAACGGATCCGCGTTTATAACTGCACAGATGGGCGTACGCTCTACTCAGGAGCTAAACGAGAGCCACTACGTTCTGTCTGCCTACCTCTGCTATATCAAGAGCGACATGTATATAAGATTAAATTTATGCTATATCTAGATATATACGTTTACTGTAACGAAGTTTCACGTGCCCTGGTATGTAGGGTGTGGGTCACACATGATGTGTGATCACACAAAGGTGTGGCCATTACTAAACAAAAAGTCAGTATGTGGCTGGAACAGCCAGTAGTTATACATTTAATGAGGTTTTTCTATATAAATAGGAAAACCGATATATTTAGAAATAGGTGGCTTTGCCGCAAATAAATTTGAGAAATACCGTTTCGTTTTAAACGAAAGAGTTAATTAGCCTTGGGTTAATGTTGTTATTACTCTTGGAGTAAGTGATTACGATCAACTACACTTGAACGGGGTCTAAGTATAGAACGAAGGTCACCGACTTTAACTAAGCTTTCTCTAAACGAATGGACCACGGCAGCCCCGCTGCTCTTGGTAACATATGTACTGACCCTCTGTGAGGATGGAAAAGTTCTCTTATTTGCCCCAGGGCATACAGGAAACCGCTCGTTGCGTGGCGTCCATCAGCTTCAAAAAGGCGCTGGCGGTTCACTTCAGAAGTGCTTTAAAAAGTGTTTGGGACAAAAAAAGTTTGGGAGGACCGATGGAAATTCTTTCTGCATGAAAACAGTGCGTTGCTCTTATAGCCGCGGCGGAGGTCGCGCGCAAGTATTAGCACTAACGTGTAATCGAGGCGTTTCGCACGTGGGAGATTTAAAACAATAGGTGCCGCGAGTGTTCACACCGCCTAACTAGATTTATAGTGTGGGTATAAAGTTCGTATCCACCCATTAAATAAGGCGAGAAGTAGCACATTAGTTAAGACGTTCAAATCTATTGCTGTCACAACGACGTCGTATCCGCCCCGATTATCTTGGAAAGGGCGCAGCTCACATCGAAACCGTGCGCATCCACCTTCAAATTTTGAATTAGTGGTGGATGTCGCATTAAAGCAGAGTACACTACCCGTGCCGCGAGGAACAGATCGAGCGGTGCAATAGGAAGCTGTGTGAGTGCGCCAGCGGAGAGCAATCTCATCAATGCTGAGAAGGAAAAAATGAGGTATTCTAGCTGCTGGAAA